AATGGATATTTAATCTCAGTACAAAATCTCAGGGGAAATTTCCACATCCCTGAAAATCCCTCGTCCTTTCCAAAAGTCCAAACAAGTACTTCACTGTCTCTCTAACCTCAGTACCATGCGGTTCAACAAGTACTCTGCAAATCCTGTGCTCAAAACTTGCTGAAATACATCAACTTTAAAATAGGGTGTTTTCAAGAACCCCATTTGCAGCCCAACCAAATTCTTGCATTTTTATTTCAATCTCATTCAAGAAGGAGAACTCAATCTCCAGGACAAATATGTCAGTTCATATTTTGAAAGTCTTTACAAGCGCTCATCTTCATTAAGAGGAGATTTTATTTGAAAAAAATGTGCACGTCATCCTCAAATATTCCAAGAGGAACCAATACAACTAAAAACTCAATGAAAAATCTAGCCAATATAAAACAATTTTAATGCATCAAATCTTTCAAGTGATGGTAAATACTGTGCATTTGCCAGGTTGTACACACAACTACAGTATCTACACACACAAAAATATCTAGCGTACTCAGGGAGTTAAAAATCAGTACATCACAGACTCTCAAATCCGCAAATTGTGTCGGAGAAATGGGGAGCATGCTTCATTTAAAATCGAATCCCTCAGAATTTGAATATCTATATATTTTCTCAAGTCAAGGATACTAATTTCCCCCGAAGTTTTTAAAAACTAAAGGTTGACCCACAAATCATATAAAAAAGACAGGATGATGGTTCCCTTTGAAAGTAGTATGTGACCATTATATACAGTATTCTCTCATCAAAGTTGCGCTATATAGTGGTCCACTAGAAAATATCGTTGCTTGACAAAAGCAACAAAAAAGCCACTTTTCCACGGGGCGAAGAAATACTTTTTGAACACACGGTAATTCGATTGAGTCTGAGGCGTGCTTCGCATGCACGAAATGGACTCGTCAGCAGCAGGAGCAAGAGCACCGAAAGATTCGGACGCGCAGCGGAGGAACACCTTTCGAATGCTGTTCGCTGAGACGATTTTCTGTGTCAGGGGATACATAAGAAAAAACAACATTTTCACCTGGTCTTCATCGTTGCCGCAGCAAGAGAAGAAAGCATTAAAAGAAATAAGCGAAAGCATATTCGACGAAAAAAAAAAA